TCACATCCTCCCATTCATTCATTGTCAGAAAATTGGAAACATTATCTATAACATGTTTTTTCGGCAGAAGTACCCTACTGAGCTTATCATCGAGGTCACTCCTCGTTAATACTTTCGAAACGAGAAATACTTTCCCGTTTCTTTCAATCACCGGTGCTATATTACAGACTGATTCTGGTAATTCAAGAATTTGTTGTTGTGCTAAAACAGCTTGATCGGCCAAGCAACTTAGACGAAATACTTCAGCATCACCGTAAAAGAAGTGTGCCATACTTCACAAAATTATCTCTATCTCTGACCTTTCTGATTGATGAAGCTGGAAAATATTAGAAAAAGAAAATTACTTCACAGCGGTTGTTGCAAACATTTAAAATTGATTTCATTTGACATGCACTGATATGAAAGAAATAGACCCTATCTATCATACATAAGTGATACTAGTATAGTAATCAATTAAATATAGGGAAAATATCTCCCAATCTCTCATTTTTAGGTTCCATTTCTCAATAGACCGAAGGTTTTAAAACATATCTTGGAGCATAAAAATTGTAGATTTTATTTCAGCTGACCCTATAAGTTATTTTAAACATTGTTTTTAAGGCCAAAAAGATCTAAAAAGACATGCCTTTTCTAAAATCCATCTTCCAAATTTCTTTTGCATTTTATAGTCTCCTCTCTCAATCTCTACACCTCTCTTCTCTCTCTCTCTAGATGCTCAATTCAAACTATCTTGTAACAATGGATTGGGATACAAAACAGTCAACAAAACCAAGATTTCACCAAAACTTTTACTACCAAAATAAAGGCAGGAAATAATAAAATAATTTATTACCCAAAAAAAAAACAAGAAACTAAGACAAAAATTTACTCACCAAAGCAAGCAAAAAAAAAAAAGAAGAAGAAGAAGAAGGAGGAAACAAAGAAAAAACCTAAGACTCCCAAAATGAGAAATTTCACTTGATTCATAAAAACCAAGATGAAATAAAGCCAAAGAAATTCATATGAAATGAAAGTATATATTGTTTATCAGGTTCAGATGGAAGGTGTATATTGTAATCAGTAAGTATGAGAATGATGGACACAATATATTGTAATCAAATAGATAGACATGATCGAGTAATAGAACAATAGACTCAATCATACAAAAAATAGTAGGATCGAGTAACAGAGTAAACCGACTTGATCTTACTGGAATGGACATAATGAAGATGAATCGCTTTGAGACCATGTGAAGAGTTTCGGGTTAGCCGAAAAAGTAGAATAACACTTGGCAGAGTCTAGATAATTTATAAGATATAGTACCTATAATTCTTATACCTACTTATTACAATATACGTATTAATCTTAAGGAAAATATCTCCATCGAATCTATTTTTAGGTTTCATTTCTCTATACACCCAAGTTTTCAAAGTCCTAGAGATTCCATCTATTATATTTTTTAACCCTTTAAATCAACTTTACGTATTTTTTCTCCATCTTGAACATAAGACAATCAAAGAAAATCAAGAAATTATTTACCAAAATAAAACCAAAGAAAATAAAAATAAATTATTCACCAAAACACATACCAAGAAAATCAAGAAATTATTCACAAAAATAAAAACCAAGAAAATCCATAAATTATGCACCAAAATAAAAACCAAGACAAGATTCTGGCTTGCTCTTCTTTCTTTCTTTTTTATTTTTCTTTTTCTTTACTGTTTTCTTTAATTTTATTTTATTTTATTATAGTATAGTACTGATGAGAGTGGGGGGTGGGACGATATGTTGAGGCATCTGTGCCTACGATCACCCAATACCCCAACCCCAAATAAGGTTTGAACTAGGTGATAAACACCACAAAATAAGTACAAAAAAACATGAAATACAACAAATTAGAAAAGTTCAAGAAGACGAAAAAGATAATATTAGGGAGACAGAGATACTGAGAGAAAGAAGAAGAAGATATCATAAAATTTAAGATAACTCTTCCTGATAGGCACAAGAGCAAAGAAAACTAAAAAAAGAAAGAACAGAAAAAAAATAAAAAATAAAAACACATATAGAGAAGAAGAGAAAGACAAGTTAGAAAAAACAGAATTAACGTACCTCAAAACTGGCTTACTCCTAATATTCTTCTCTCTGCCTAACCAAGCCCTGAATATGGGGGCAGCAATTAGGTGATTTAATTCTCAAGTTGTAATAGTTTTTGAAAATATAAAACTATTGTTTCGTATGTAAAGAGCCGGGGCCAAATTTGATAAGGTCTACCTGAACCAACTAATAGAAATACGAAAAATTTAAGTTTTAATTAATTATATTTTAAAATGTCGAACTCCATGAATGGTGAGCAATGTGCAAATTGAAGATCAATTGTTTCTACATTGAAGAAGAGAAGAGAAAAGAAAAGCAAACAAAAGAAAAAGAACACAAAGAGAAAAAGAAGAATACAAGCTGCAAAAAAGAAAAATGAACATACCAGAAAAAATATGGATTCTTCTCTTCTCTTTCTAACCAAAACCTGAATATCGTGCGCGCAGATTTTGTTTAATCTTTAATGTGTGCGGCCTTTTCATTTGTTGTATTTATATAATTAGGTGGCCTAAACGCCTACTACAATTAGGACACAAAATCAGTTACCTATTTTACCTCCATCTATCTTAAATAATAGAAAATCATCGCTCTCTCTCATATTCTTACGATGAAACTTATCTCATCTCTATCCATCTCAAACGGTTCTTGGTTCTCTTATATTCTTACAACGTGTTGTTCTATCTATCGAGAGTCACCTAGCATAGGGATATTTACTAACTTATTAGAGAGAGAGAGGGGAAGTCCGTGTAGTGGGACATGGAGATATACGCATGGATAAAAGCCAAATTTGTGGAATTATCTTTTTGGTGTATATTTTTATAAATTTTTAGAGAGGTCCATCTTTTGTGCATTTTTATTTTATATTAAGTTTTGCTATTTTTAAAATTTGACGATTTTATTTTATTTATTCTTGGGCATTTATGGGGTAGTTTGATGACTCGACTGGGTCCAACTCGAAACCCGCCAGTCAAACTGGAACAAGGCACTAGCCAATCGTGTTTTAGTGGTCAGGATGGGTATTTCAAATAAAAAATAAAAAATATATAAAATCCCAAAGGTTTGAATGTTTTGTTTCATTTTGGTAAAATCTGGGAAGTGTTTTTTTTAATGAAATTTATTTTTACATTTTTTCAATATTTTTTAGAAAATTTCAAGCTTACCGTTGGGCACAAATCAATGGTTGAAATATTATTTTTCACTATTTTTCAACTTCATTTGTACGTGTTTTGTTTAATCATGTTTTAAATATACTTTGCATATTATTTTTTATTTTTAAATACATTTTGGATTGGCCAGGACAAGTCTGGTTGGGCCCATTGTTTTCAAATTCACTTCAGAGTCTTTTTTGGTGTGTTGAGAAAAATGAAGCAATTCAGTGTTTCGAACGATTCGAGAAAAGAGTTTAGATATTTTTTAATTTAATATAAATATAAAATAGACATTTATATATAAATATATAAAAATAAAAAAAATTAAATAAAAAATTCCATATATATTAGATATGATTTTCGTACATATCCTATCTTATCATTAATATAAGGATAGATCGTTATGGCGCTGAGATTTTCTCCTCCCTCTACAACTCCGCTCTCTCACATTTCAAATTGACAGCCACGTAGGAAAGCACGGAAATAGTGGTAGTATCAAGAAACATACGAATATGAGAGAGATCAAAATACGCTGCGACCAATAGCCAGCGAGAGAAATACAAATTGTCCAATATTCGTGATGTTGATGTGGCATCACATTATTGGACTCACTCTTTGATTATATATACACTATTTCATTCTAATGACAACTACAAAAAAACAAAATTTCAAAACACAATTTATAAAGTATTTTTTTAACACAATTAACATAAACCGTCTATATTGGTGAGATGCTTAGATCTAGGCTTTAGAAGGATTTTTTCACTTTCAATTTATTTGGATAGCTTTACTATCATTAGATGAACAAAAAATAGTTAAAATTGTTCAATATTGGAACCGACCAAAGAAAATATCAATGGTCCACTAAAATTTATACTTTTAAATATGTTTTTATAAACGTGTATATCCTTTTCATTGTCATCTTTATGAGGTGTGGTCAGATTAAGGAAATATCAATGGTCCATTAAAAGTCATACTTTTTTATATAGAGCCGAGGCTCTAAACAATCAAATGAGAGCCTACATCAAATATTTCACTAGAAGAGGTTGTTTTAATTCCTAAATATCCTCAAATATATCATCTGGACATCAAGATGCATGGACATGAGAAAAAACTGGATTTCAAGTTGTGAAAGTAGTGAATTTTGTCTTACATATTTGGACCGTCAATTTTCAAGATTTTCGTAGATTTGTTGATTTGTACTATTTTTAAAGCTTTAAACTTTATTAATAAATATAAAAATATATTTTAATGCTGCTGCAAAGATTTTCAGTATTAAAACCACATATCTCGATACTTTTTAAAGGTAGGCTCTAATTTGATTGTATAGAGCCTAGGCTTTATACAAACCGCACCCTTCTTATAAATGTGAATTTCCTTTTCATTGTCTTCGTTATGGAGGTGAGGTCACATAAGTCATTTTGGACGGATATTTTGGTGAACCCACGCTTGGCCATTATTGTCAGGACACCCATGGACCACTAAACAGGTGAGAATCAGCCAAATTGCTCGAAGTCCTCCTATCTTTATCCAAAAATCCACTTCATTGCTCCTTCCGCACCTATAATCTCATCACATGCTTTTCTTTTACTCTCTCTCTAGAAACTCACTCTCAAGAAACCATATATATAGATGAGCATAAATGATTTCATACCCATAGAAAGATTTGGTTGCACCTTTCAGCTATAAAGGATCAAGAGTTTGCTGCTAAAGTTCTTCAAAATGTGTGTTCTTGAATTACCTTAGCTCCAAAAGATTTTTGAGATGTGTGAGCAAGACATGGTTGGGGAAGTAAGCGTGGAAGAGATTTGCAGGGTTTTGAGCAGGGCTGGCATTGGCATCAGAGGTGATGAACTCAAGGCCATTGTGGGATCCGAGAGATTGAACTTCGAGGCGTTTGTCAAATTTTGTCGATCGATAGTGAGCACAGAGAAATTCAGACAAGAGAGTGTCACAGACAACGACGAGGAGTGCGATTTGAAGGAGGCCTTCAATGTCTTCGACATTGATCGAGACGGGTTCATATTGAGCGAGGAGGTCGAGAAAGTGCTGTGGAGACTTGGGTTGTGGGAGGGGAAGGAGGAGGATTGGAAGATGATGATACAGAAGTTTGATGAGAATTTAGATGGGCGTTTGGATTTTCAAGAGTTCAAGAACATGATGTTGAGGAGAAATGTGCTGGTAAGTTGATTGGAGAGAAAAGTTTGTGTTAGAGTTGATAGAATTTGGGTCCAAGACTTAGAGCTTCATGAAATGTCTTTAATTTGTATCCCACCTTACCCTCCAAATAGACTGTTATTGCGTTCTCTCTCTCTCGCT